CCCATCCTCATGCTAATGATGGAAGGCCTTTAGAGAGTTCATCATATGAATCTCCCTATCACATGCACTCATATTAGCTGGAGGGAACAATCAATTACGCCCTAGTTTGATCTAGGTCAAACCCAAGTGGCTCCCACAGACTTTCATAAAGTCAAATTTTGGTGGGCCCAAATCGGCTAGGGTCCCGCACGTAACCTCTCCATGAGGTATGGGGCCCACCACTGAGGAAGGTCATCCAATGACCAAAAGGGACACCATGGCAATGATGTGTATTCAGCAATGGTGTGCACAAGAGCCACTGTCGATTGAGCATGGGCCAAACACTTATGGCCCATGTACGTAGCACATCACACATTCATACATCACATGCAAGGATAAATTGATCAAATCAATTAAATATTTGTAAAGCTCATTTGAAGCCCATTTTGAATCCATAATATTAACCATTAATATTATCTAGTTATATGGGCTGAATTAGGGTTGATTGGTTCGGCCCATATAGCTTTAAGTGCTAAGTGGGCTTTTAGTAGTTTTAACTATTTAAAACTGGGCCTTTACAGGTTGGGTCGAATTAAGCATTTAATTAATTATCAATCCTCAGGCCCATTAGTGGGAAAATTAGGGCTGACTTTCAGCCTTGATTGAACCCTAGATTCGGTCCAAACAATTTGAACCAATCTTGGTTCGAATGGGTTTAGGGTTTGATCTTTAATTCAAAAAAATAATCTGAAATTAAATACTAATAAAAGAAAAGAAATAATCAGTCTCATAGGGCTGTTCGCACACTCCATCCTGCAAAACAGAGGTTAGATCACAGGTTGCAATTTCATAAACTGCAAATCACAAATTGCAATTCTTCCATCCGCAAGATCTCCTTCTCTACGCCACCATCTTCGATCCAAAATAACATAAATAAAAATCCTAATTTCTATTAATAATTACATCAGATCGAATACCTATACATTCAGTCTAAAAAATTAAAAAAAAATTATTTTACAGCAAAATGTAATAAAATAATCCATAAATTACAAAATTGTAGGTTCCCTGTGCAAATCAAGAATTCGATCTCCTCTTGTACGAACAACCCATAAATCAAGAAAATCAGAAAGAACAATTCTAAACAATAATCAGATTTATATAAAATTTAATTTCAGATTATTCACCCATAAATTTTGGGAACAAATTTCCCAAAACCCTTATCTACGCAAATCGGGTAGAACGCCTTCTGCTCATTTGCGCAGGTTCAGATCTGAAACAAATTGGTTCAAGATTTGAACCATGGCTCTGATACCACTGAAGGGATGAGAGATCCATCGTATGGACGCCCAAATCTTGCGGAATAAGGTAGACGAATTTCAAAAAAAATTCTCTCCCTTTCAATTGGGAATCGAATTCCCTATTTAGAAAATCATATTTTCAATGATCAATCTTGAACCATAAACTGAACCAGATCTGAACAAAAACAGTAGGAGAAAATTATACCTGATACGGAGAAGTAATATCTCCCAATGGAGGTGTTCACGCCCAAGTAAGGATCCAAAGACTACTCCCACTGAAAATGGCGCAGTGCAGGATGGAGCAGAATCAACAGTGTCCTTCTCCAAGAACCTAGTCCTTTGCAAGAAATAGCAGTATGGCACGTGAGCACAACTTCCTATCAGCCCTTTCACAAAGAACTGATATCAAGATCAAATCTTGACTTCTCCCACAACTAGAGATCAAACTGGCAAGGTAGGCAACAAAAAGAAGGAGGCGGCAAGAAAGAATTCTACAGGGTTGCTTAATTCTTTTTTCTGTGATTTCAACTCTAAAGAGGATGTGAATTTTTGTCTCCTAAAGGCTGCCGCTTCTTCCTTTTCTTGTAACCCTAAAGGATCAGCTCCTAATCCAATTAGGACTTGCTGATCCAAATCTGATTTGGATCAAACATCCCTTTAGGTGATAAGGATAAACCCTTATCTTATCTG